GAAATAATGCTTGTGTTTACACAACAAAATTCACTTATATATCATGTGCGCTTCATACACAAAGTCTGACAATAATTTTATACAATATTGAAATAATTTAAAAAATAATTGTGTCTATTAAGCAAAGTTTGTGTACAATGAATCTTCAGAAAACAAAGGTGTCACTTTCTGAGTCATCCATGTGAACAATTTCATTTTTTATTATTTTTGAATTCTGGATTAGAGATACTTAAAGGTAAAAGTTTTCCCTGACATTAAGCCTAGTCGTGTCCGATTCTGGGGGGTGATGCTCATCTCCATTTCTAAGCAGAAGAGCTGGTGTTGTCCGTAGATACCTCCAAGGTCACGTGGCCAGCATGACTGCATGGAGTGCCGTTACCTTCCCTCAGAAGGTGTGATCTACTCACATTTGCATGGTTTCAAACTGCTAGGTTGGCAGAAGCTGGGACTAACAGCAGAGCTCACCCCCTCCCTAGATTCAAACCACCAACCTTTCGGTCAGCAAGTTCAGCAGCTCAGCGGTTTAACCCTCTGCGCCACCGGGGCCGCCAAGAGATACTTACCTTGTATAATAAAAACATATACTGAAAAAGACAAAGCAAGAGAAAAGGAAATAAAATTAAAACATAAATAAAAACACAGGGGAAATAATAAAGAGAGTGAATGTGCTGTCGCATGCTGGACCTGTGCATAAGACGGTAGACAGGACATACATTCTGTGTGCCCAAGAGGACGCTGGGGCTGCCTCAGATTAAAAAGGCCCTTGGATTTCCTTAAAACAGAGTCTTTAGATTGCTTAAAGGTTCAACAAAGTTCTTTATTAATGAAAACAAACAGGTACTTTAAGGCTTTCTTAACAGTCTATTGGCGCTCTCTCAATCTTGTCCACAGGGAACAGGCACTATCTTCATAACTGTAACTAATGGGGAAATCCTAATCTGGGCAGTCTGTCTTTGCCTGTGTTGGCGTGGAGTCCCTACACCCGGTACCAACTGTGTCTGGCTTCCACGAGCGACCCTTACCAAGCAGAGCTTTGTAGACTTCCAGGGGAAAAGAAGGAGTTCAGGTTTCAGTGATGGCTGACTGAAGTCCCTCAGCAAAGGAGCTGTAAGGCTGTATATCTTCCGGCCAAGCTGTGGGCTATATATCTCCCCGGCCAAGCCGTAGAAGATGAAGCTTTCTACGGGAGCTCTTGGTATTATGTCCTGCATGAAAAGCTTTTCTGTGTGGACTGAACTCAAAAAGGCTCCTATTCCCTCCAAAAACCCAAAGGGGGCGGGACCAGGGAACCTAATTATAATTGACAGGTGGCTTGCCCTATGATTGCAGCCAAAAGAAGCCACCTATCTGCAGAGTCCCTGAAACTTAGGACTACCAACAAACCTTAAATGCAAAGCAAACAAAATTGGAGCTCCTGGTACAGCTGTACCTGCACAGTGAAAGTAAACAAATGCATATAATTTGATTTTCAAAGTTCATATGATGGATAGATGGGATCCTTGAAGTGACTGTATTGACCTTGAAGGAGCTGGGCGTGGTGACGGTCAACAGGGAGCTCTGACGTGGGCTGGTCCATGAGGTCACAAAGAGTCGGAAATGACTGAATGATTGAACAACAACAACAACATGATTAATTATACAAAATATAAAAGCTGTAAATAAATAAATAAATAAATATACAAAATAAAATAAAATTGCTTCTTCAGATATAATTTGAATGGGTGCATGTCTACTGCTCAAGTTAATCAAACCATCTAATAACAATACAACTGATGTAAACATTTCTGGGGAAAGGATGCACTGTGTTTCAAAAATGCACTCAGAAATTATAGCATTATTCAAACATATCTAAAACACCACACACACACATATTTTAGTCAAAGGCAGAGTGCAGACTACGAGACAGAAGAATAATTCAGACAAGGCAGGTCTGCTCCTGATCAAAAGGGAGAAAGAACTGGGAACCACCTTCTTTGGGGTGGAGTGGTGCTCTCCTTGAAAAATCAGATCTTCCTTGAGGTGCGGTCCTTGGTTGCAACTCGCACCTGCAGAACCATGAAGTGCTGGCAGCAAGAAGTGCCTTTGCAAGTATACCTTCTATCCCTAATCTTGAGATCTTGCTGTCGTAACACATGATATGCAGATGAAATGATATGCTCTATGTGTGGCTAGCTTGAAAGGTCTTACAAATGATCTAGGGAAGAGACCAGGAACTCTATGGCTATGGAAACATATACTAAACTTAATTTGCAAAATCAGTAGCAGGTACTTGTTTACTTTTGGATGCCGTTCCAAGTGTTGGTGATTATCATTCAAATGTTGCTTTAAGATGCCTGAATGATCACCTCTGCTTATGCTAATCAGTCTGATCCTAATGTCAGAGATAAATGTATTGGGTTGTTTCAGCGTAAAAGGGAACATATGAGAAGAGGAGATGAAGTAACCTTTGAGACTACTATCAGCCTTCCACATTCACTGCGATTAGGGGCACAGGGCCCCCATGAAAGTGACAAATGTGAATAAAATGCTATTTTTGTACACAGGTGAACACTTTCCTGGGAATCTTAATGTCCTTCAGTGCAACTTATGGTCATCTGTGCAAGACACCAGCCACAGATGCAGACAAAACATTAGGAGAGAATGCTGCTGGAACATGGCCATACAGCCCAAAACACTCTTAGCAACCCATCATTAAAATTGTTAATACTTAAACCAATCTATATAAATAAAAAATGTAATGTTCAATGTATTGAGATTGCTCCAGGCACTGCCAAGCAATCACATGCTAATCAAGGTGATCAGTTGAAACATTCACACCTAGCTCCAACAGACAAGAGTCCTTTGTCCCACCCTGATATATAAACCCTTTTCCTAGTTCCAACAGACCTCACTACCTCTGAGGATGCTTGCCATAGATGCAGGCGAAACGTCAGGAGAAAATGCCTTTAGAACATGGCCATATAGCCCGAAAAAGCCTACAACAACCCAATGTAATGTTCGTTTGTGGGATTAACAGAACTCAAAAACCACTGAACGAATTGACACCAAATTTGGACACGACACCTAACAACCCAATGTATGTCCTTCAGTCAAAAATTTTGATTTTGTCATTTGGGAGTTGTAGTTGCTGGGATTTATAGTTCACCTACAATCACAGAGCATTCTGAACCCCACCCACGATAGAATTGGGCCAAACCTCCCACACAGAACCCCTATGTGGGCCACAGCAACACGTGGCAGGGGACGGCTAGTACTAAATAAATTCTAAAGTGACATCTCTGGATACTTAAGCAAAGTTGTGATATCCAAGAAAACTATGAAAACACTGTCAAAGTCACCTAGGGTTGGGAACTTCTTCTGAGGATTCTTTTGTACATGAACTGCAATGAAAATCCAAATAGAAATACAATATGGCCCCCCTACCTGCCTAATCAGTATCCTCTCTAGGATATGTTTGGAGAGGACATAATTCGTTGTATCATTTATCTAGATTAAATGAAGTATGTCCTCTCTAGGCATTTTCTAGGTCAGGGGTGTCAAACTTTTTTTCACAGAGGGACGCATCCGTCTTATGGTTTCCTTCAAAGGGTCATTGAATCTACAGATGGAGAATCACTGGAATCAGAGAGCCTACACACACACACACACACACACACACACACACACACTAGCCATCCCCTGCCACACATTGCTGTGGCCCAGTCTGTGTATATGTGTTTTGTGTTTGTATGTATTTGTGTATATGTGTATATATGTGTGTTTGCATATATGTGTGTGGTTTTGTGCATGTGTTGTAATATAATTTTTGTGGGTTTTTTTGGGCTTTTTAAGTCTCTTCTGCTGTGTTTTTCAGTGTTTTATGAGTGATGGCCACTCATTGGCCTGATAGGTGTATTGTGTCCAAATTTGGTATCAATTCGTCCAGTGGTTTTTGAGTTAGGTTAATCCCACAAACTAACATTACATTTTTTATTTATATAGATTATACACACACACACACACATTGTGCTATTCAGTTTTAACCCACTTTGGATCCCCAGATGTCAACTATATATATATATATATATATATATATATATATATATATATATATATAGGCTCTCTGATTCCAGTGATTCTCCATCTGTAGATTCAATGACCCTTTGAAGGAAACCATAACTCCCATCGCTTTTGTTTGTCCATCATGGGGATAATGGAAACTGTAAGCCAACAGCAGTTACAGGTTTTCTGAGGTTGGGAAAAGGTTAAAGGACATTTTAAGGTCAGACATATCCACAAGCCTTGAATCCAAATTCGAAACCCACTATCCTGACTCAATAGAACAGACTGCAGCCTTCCAGATGTTACTGTATCACTACTCCCATCAGTTCTAGCCACAATGTCTAATGATGAGGAAGGCGGGAGTTGCAGCAGCATCTGGAGGGCCACATACATGACATGGAGGGTTGGATTTGGCCCACAGGCCTTCAGTTTGACACTTGTGTTCTAGGTTCTCCAACACGGCTCTGTGGGATTCTTGGACCATGAGTCCTTAACTTCAATAGGATTCAATATTATCCATGGTTTCGCTCATCCACGTGCAGTTCAGAAATAGATCTCCCACAAATTGTTGTGGGAGTACAAGCCCACACTCCTGACTCAATAGAGGTTGTACTCTCTCTCTATGTGTATGTGTGTATGGTGCCAAGAGGCCATTCTCTTAGCTCATCCTGTTGCTGAAGGATTTGAATGTTTGATTATATCCCAATTCATCTGTAATGCCAGAAGGAGAGGTTGAAGTTGTACATCATCAAGGTTAAAGGCACCACTAATAGTAATGAGAGAGGTTTCACACTGGCTGCATCAATATTATGGGATACCTTCCCATGTGGGACTATTTGGTGTCTCTATCAAGCAAAGAGCAACTTGTGCATAAAATAGGAAGCTATTTGTGTAACAACTTGAAATAATCTCCTGACATAAGTGTAAAGGTTCTTTTCTGTGTTTGGATCCTATTACAGCTTTCTAAGGTATACGGGAACATCTGCACGCTCTGGGTGGCCCACCATCCGATTGTAGTCCTGTCTGGATTCCAAACGGTGAAAGAAGGCTTGATCAACCATTCAGAAGACCTGCTTGACCGACCTTTGACCCACTTCCTGATTAAGGCCTTCAATAAAAAGGGTAAGCTGCCTGAAAAAAAAAAAGGTTTGCTGTTCATCTGGTGAGCAAAATAAAAGAACAATCTGAATCGTTTCAGCTTTTTCTGAAGGTATCCTGCTTGGGGGACCATCTGTATACCGTTTTCACACAAATACCAGATCAGATGTAAAATGTGTTGTTGTTGTTCATTCGTTCAGTCGTTTCTGACTCTTCGTGACCTCATGGACCAGCCCACGCCAGAGCTCCCTGTCAGCCGTCACCACCCCCAGCTCCTTCAGGGTCAAGCCAGTCACTTCAAGGATGCCATCCATTTTGCCCTTGGTCAGCCCTTCTTCCTTTTTCCTTCCATTTTCCCCAGCATCATTGCCTTCTCTAAGCTTTCCTTTCTTCTCATGATGTGGCCAAAGTACTTCATCTTTGCCTTTACTATCCTTCCCTACAATGAGCAGTCAGGCTTTATTTCCTGAAGTATGGACTGGTTGGATCTTCTGGCGGTCCAAGGCACTCTCAGAACTTTCCTCCAACACCAAAAGCATAATTCTTCCTTCGCTTAGCCTTCCCTATGGTCCAGCTCTCACATCCGTAGGTGACTATGGGGAATACCATTGCTTTAACTGTGTGGATCTTCGTTGCCAGTGTGATGTCTCTACTCGTCACTATTTTATCGAGATTGGACACTGATGTAAAATTAGTAGTGGAAAACATTCCATGACTGGCAAAACATAGCTCTGGTAAGACAGCAGTGCCTAAGATCCTACTCTTTTGGGCAAAATCATTGTGTTACTATTGGTACATTCGATCCTATATTTCTTCTACATTCTATTTGACATTATTATAGAATCATAGAATCAAAGAGTTGGAAGAGACCTCTTGGGCCATCCAGTCCAACCCCCTGCCAAGAAGCAGGAATATTGCATTCAAATCACCCCTGACAAATGGCCATCCAGCCTCTGCTTAAAAGCTTCCAAAGAAGGAGCCTCCACCACACTCCGGGGCAGAGAGTTCCACTGCTGAACGGCTCTCACAGTCAGGAAGTTCTTCCTAATGTTCAGATGGAATCTCCTCTCTTGTAGTTTGAAGCCATTGTTCCGCGTCCTAGTCTCCAAGGAAGCAGAAAACAAGCTTGCTCCCTCCTCCCTGTGGCTTCCTCTCACATATTTATACATGGCTATCATATCTCCTCTCAGCCTTCTCTTCTTCAGGCTAAAAATGCCCAGTTCCCTAAGCCGCTCCTCATAGGGCTTGTTCTCCAGACCCTTGATGAGCAGGATATTGAGGCAGGAGAAAAGAGTATTGTTGTAATAGGCCCTCTGGGGTACCAAGGACTTGCAAGGGGGCAGTGCATTACGATACAATGGAGAACAAAGAGTTGAAAGCAAATAATAATAATAATTCACTTTATTTATATTCCACCCTTCTCCCCTAGTGGACTCGGAGCAGATTACAGCATTTACATACATTGGTAAACATTCAATGCCTTTACAATCGCATACAATGAGACACATAAACACAAACAAAGGCAGAGGCTTCTCCTTTCATTTCCGGCTTCTTGCGGCGATGCTTATCTTTGGCTCTGAGGAGGTGTTTCTCATTTTCAAGCCAAGGAGCCTGCATTGTCACTTTCTAGTTGTGTGGCCAGCAAGATTGCTTGGAGTGTCTCTTTGCCTTTTCCTGCTGAAGTGGTACCTATTTGTCTATCCACATTTGCATGTTTCGAACTGCTAGTTTGCAGGACCTGGAGCTGACAGGTGGGAGCTCACCCCATCTCACCTTCGGGTCAGCAGTTAGCCGACCTTCAGGTCAGCCAACTTTCAAGTCAGCAGTTCAGCAGCATAAGGATACATCTCTCTGGATGTGTATTTTGCCCTTCTGAGCTCTGCTCCCCCCCCTCCCCAAAGTGAAGCCTCCACTTTCTGTTCTGAAAACAGTTCAACACAGAATGATTCATGTGGGAAACAATAAGGATCCACTAGTGTTTCTCACCACAATGATGCATCAGCTGAATATCACTGGTGAGATGGATGTATGCATCATAAAAACATCGGAGTTCATTTATCTAGGACATCTAGCCTAGGGATGTAATTCTTCATTAAGTTTTTTCTTGAAGATATCAACAAAATTGAGCAATGCTCTTCTCAGTGTGAGAACATTTTGAAAACCCTACAGATTTATAAGGCTATTCACAATCTGAGACGTATTTTTGTGTAAAATTCAAATGTGGCTGCTTTTTACAGGAAAAAGTATTACAGAAGACAGTGTTTTCCTTGTGAAAAATTGTATTACCTAAGAATAACCATTTCGTTGCTATGAGTTTTTCGGACTATATGGCCACGTTCCAGTAGCATTCTACTACTGGAACATGGCCATAGAGCCTGAAAAAAATCACAGCAATAATAATAATAATAATAATAATAATAATAATAATAATAATAAAAATAATAATAACAACAACACTTTATTTGTACCCCGCTACCATCTCCCCAAGGGACTCGGTGCAGCTTACATGAGGCTGAGCCCAAACACAACAATACAAGCAATGTCACAACAATACAAGCAATTAAAATAAAACATATAAAATTATCAATAAGACAACATACAATTAAAACTATGGGAAAGCCAAATGTAAAATTAAAATTGGAAATAGTGCTGAACATGGACGAACAGGTGATAGTGGCGTTTGTGGAGAGACAAATGGGCAGACCTAAAAAATGTAAAGTGCTTTAGAGGGACAAAGTGCTTTGGTATCATTAATCCGGGAAGGCACACTGGAACAACCACATCTTCAAGCTCCCCCTGAAAACTGCCAGGGTTGGGGCCTGCCTGATGTCCTTAGGGAGTGAGTTCCAGAGTCAAGGGGCCACCACCGAAAAGGCCCTCTCTCTCATCCCCACCAATTGCGCCTGCTATGCTGGCGGGATCGAGAGCAGGGCCTCTCCTGATGAGCGAAGAGATCGTGTGGGTTCATATACAGAGATGTGGTCACGCAGGTAGGCGGGTCCCAAACTGTTCAGGGCTTTGTAGGTAAGAACCTGCACCTTGAATTGGGTCCGGTAAATGAATGGCAGCCAGTGGAGCTCCTTGAACAGGAGGGATGACCGCTCCCTGTAAGGAGCCCCAGTTAACAACCTGGCTGCTGCCCGTTGGATCATCTGAAATTTCCGGGCAGCCCCACGTAGAGTGCATTGCAGTAATCCAATCTAGAGGTGACTAAGGCGTGGACCACTTTGGCCAGATCAGCAACCCACTGATTCCTGCCATGAAAGCCTTTGACAACACAATAACCATTGTATTTCTGTGCCTTCAGATCCTTTCCAAGTTATGCTGACCCTAAGATGAACCTATTATGGCAATTTCTTGAAATGTTTTGTTTAGAGAGGGACTGTCTTTGCCTTCTTCTGAGGCCGAGTGTGACTTGTCCTAGGTCACCCAGTGGCTTTCTATGGTTGATCAGGGATTCCAACCCTGTTCTCCAGGTTCATGGTCCAATATTTAAATCATCACACTATGTTGACTTTCTAACAAGAATCTTTACTAATAATTTTCCTTGGATTTTTAAAACTTATCTTAGGTATTGCATTTGGAAATGGACACAACTGGAAGCAACAGAGACGATTTGGTATAGTTACTATGCGGACCCTTGGACTAGGGAAGAAAGGCATGGAGTACGAAATTGAGGAGGAGGCCCATCGGCTTGTGGAGGCCTTTTCACGGACAAAAGGTATGTGAAGTGAACAAGATGCTGGATTTATAATGTATATTCATCATCACTGTTGCAATGGGCATACATACATTTTTAATTCCATTTGTATCCTAATGAAATATATATATAGGAAAATATGTCATATTGAGGCATGAGCAAACTTGTTTTCTGGTATTCCAGAGTCAAAAAACATGGAGCAATGGATTCAAACTAGAGGAAAAGAGAGTCCATGTGAACAGTAGGAAGAATTATGACCAGATGGCCATTTGTTGGGAGCACATAGAGTTGGACTAGGCGGGCTTTGAGTTATCTTCCAACTTTATGAAGACAGGAAGGTGGCAAGCATACACTGAGGAGGAATCTTTGTAGGAACATTTTTGTTCTAAGACAGTGGTTCTCAATCTGTGGATCTCCAGGTGTGTTGGCCTACAACTTCTAGAAATCCCAGCCAGTTTATCAGCTGTTAGGATTTCTGAAAGTTGAAGGCCAAAACATCTGGGGATCCACAGGTTGAGAACCACTGTTCTAAGACATTTGGAAGAAAAAAATGTTTCTTTTTAAAATCTCTGGGGCACCATTGTGACCACAAAAATGATCTTGTGGAACCACATACAGCCCAACTGCCAAGCTGGTTCGCAGCTTGGGAGTTCTCCTGGACTCATAGCTGAACCTGGAATCCCAGGTTATAGTGGTGGACAGGGGAGCTTTCGCACAATTAAAAGTTGTTGCCGTACCTTGGAAAACCAGACTTGGTTACGGTGGTCCACACTCTTGTTACATCCAGGATAGACTACTGAAACACATTCTATGTGGGGTTGCCTTTGAAGAGTGCTCGGAAGCTCCAAATAGTCCAGCGAGAGGCAGCCCAGTGAATAACTGGGGCGGAATACAAGGAGCATACATGTTCTGTTGCATGCTGGGCCTGTAAAGAATTTCCTATAGAACAGGATGTGCAACCTTTGCCCAGCGGGAAGGCAGGGGACCCAAAGAGAAGTTCTCAGAGGTTTTCCACCACAAATGATCTTCAGATGGCTTGTGAAGTATAACAAAGTCCTTTATTAATGAACAATCAAACAGAAACTTCCCTTGTCTTCAGTAAAGATAAACAAATGATTCCAGGCTTCTATGCAACTGGTGGCTTTCTAAACTTGCCCACGAAGGACAGACAACTGTCTTCAATAACTTCTTCTTTACTTTAAAGGAAAGTCTCCCTTTTAACTTCTCCCAGGCTGATTGTAATCTAACCCTTACTGATGTGGGATCCGCTACCGGGTCGAACTGCTTCTCGAGCACTGAGTGGACCTACCAGTAAAGGCTTAGATATTCTCCAGCTGGAGTTCTTTGGTCTTTAGGGCTGTTTTCCTGGTGATCTTTGGAGACTCTTAAGACTGTTCTTCCCGGGAAAGTCTTAAGGGTTGAAGCTTTTGTACAGGGGAAGCTTACACACATCCATAGAATCAAAGAGTTGGAAGAGACCTCATGGGCCATCCAGTCCAACCTTACTCTTGGCATCCTGTACATTAGCTTTCCTTGCTGAGACTAACAAAAAATGGCTCCCTTCCCAACTGCCCTGAGCAAGGGACGGGACCAAAACTTAATGTTGGTGGACAGGTGACTTGCCCTACGACTGCAACCAAAGGAAGCCACCTGTCTGCAGAGTCCCTGAAACCTTGGACTGCAAACAAACATATAATACAAAGCAAATAAAGCTGGAGCTTCTGGTACAGTCGTACCACCACAATACAACTCTCATGTTATGCCAGCTCCACAGGCTGCCAGTTTGTTACCGGGCGCAATTCAAAGTTCTGGCTTTTACCTATAAAGCCCTAAATGGCCCCGGCCCAATTTACCTGTCTGAACGCATCTCCCCTTATGAACCACCGCGGATATTAAGATCCTCCGAAGAGGCCGTGTTCTCCATCCTGCCATTGTCACAGGCCCGATTGGTGGAGACATGAGAGAGGGCCTTCTCGGTGATTGCCCCCCAGGTATGGAACTCCCTTCCTGGTGAGATCAGATTGGCCTCCTCCCTCCTGTCTTTTAGAAGGATGGTAAAAACCTAGCTGTGGGACCAAGCTTTCCGGACAGTGTAATAAAGCAGCAAGAGGAAACCTTACCAGGCCAATTAGATTAGATGCAGATGATCAAGACAGTTTTAAACAGTGTATTTTAGTACTGAGACTGATGTTTTTGATGTTTATGTATGCATATAATGTATTCTTGTCATAGAATCATAGAATCAAAGAGTTGGAAGAGACCTCATGGGCCATCCAGTCCAATCCACTGCCAAGAAGCAGGAATATTGCATTCAAATCACCCCTGACAGATGGCCATCCAGCCTCTGTTTAAAAGCTTCCAAAGAAGGAGCCTCCACCACACTCTGGGGCAGAGAGTTCCACTGCTGAACGGCTCTCACAGACAGGAAGTTCTTCCTCATGTTCAGATGTCCCAGCATTACATGTTTGCTGTATATATGCTGTGATCCGCCCTGAGTCCCCTTCGGGGTGATAAAGGAAGCATATAAATGTTTTAAATAAATAAATAAAGGCAACCCTTTGCTCATTCAGTCCCACATTACACTTTTTTCTCAACCAAATCCTAGTATTAACCAGTAAAGCAGAATTATATTGAGATGCATTTATGTTGTTTATTTGCAGGGCAGCCACTTGACCCTTCAGTACTGGTCAGTAATTCCGTCTCCAGTTTGATAAATGTTGTCTCTTTTGGATACCGATTTTCTCCTGAAGACGAAAAGTTCCGGAGAATGATTGCAGCGAGTGATTATTTCGAAAGATTTTCAGTCAGCTTTTATCATGCTGTGAGTTGCCTTCATTTCTAATGGAAACTACCTGCAGCTTTGGTAGTAGTGCAATGGCTTGATCCAACCTCAGAAGACTTGGCATTTTGATTAATAGTTGTATCTTCAAGTGAACACCTTGTGAACCAAGAACAAAAACTTTATATAGGAAAGCGCTGAAACAATTCCTAGAATCCAGGAATTTTAGTAAAATTTAGTAAATTAGCAAAAGTACAGCGTTTCTCAATCTGGATGTTGGGAACCCCTGAAGTATCAGAGGGCCAACCAAAAACCATCAGAAAAAAGTATTTTCTGTTGGTCATAGGGGTTCTATGTGGGAATTTTGGCCCAATTCTATCACTGGTGGGGTTCAGAATGCTCTTTGATTGTAGGTGAACTATAAATCCCAGCAACTACAACTCCCAAAGTTCAAGGTCTATTTCCCCCAAACTCCACCAGTGTTCACATTTGGGCATATTGAGTATTCCTGCCAAGTTTGGTCCAGATTCATCATTGTTTGAGTCCATAGTGCTCTTTGTATGTAGGTGAACTACAACTCCAGAACTCAAGGTCAATGCCCACTAAACCCTTCCAATATTTTATCTTGGTCCCGGGAGTTCTGTGTGCCAAGTTTGGTTCCATTCCATCGTTGGTGGAGTTCAGAATGCTCTTTGATTGTAGGTGAGCTATAAATCCCAGCAAATACAACTCCCAAATGACAATATCAATCCCAATTCCAGCAGTATTCAAATTTGGGCATATTGGGTATTTGTGTCAAATTTGGTCTATTGAATGAAAATACATCCTACATATCAGATATTTACATGACGATTCATAACAGTAGCTATGAAGTAGCAACAAAAATAATTTATGGTTGGTGGTCACCACAACACGAGGAACTGTATTAAGGGGTCATGGCATTAGGAAGGTTGACAACCACTGCAATAGTACAACACAGAATCATGTACCTATATTGTCGAAGGCTTTCATGGCTGGAATCACTGGGTTGTTGTAGGTTTTCCAGGCTATATGGCCATGTTCTGGTGGCATTCTCTCCTGACGTTTCACCTGCATCTATGGCAAGCAACCTCTGAGGATGCTTGCCATAGATGCAGGCGAAACGTCAGGAGAGAATGCGTCTAGAACATGGCCATATAGCCCCAAAAACCTATAACAACCTATGTACCTATATATTATTACTAGGTCCTACTACTGTGGATCCATTCAATCGATGGAGTCTACATAAGAATGGGCTTAATAAGTAGATTGGGCTTCTTCTACTTGGGAAAAATAGGATTTAAAGTTTACAACTCCCCAGTATTTCTGGAAATGCCTACTTTAAAGATCTCCCTCCTTGTATACTTTGATGTGGGAAGAAAATGCATAGTGCCTGCAACCCATATGATCCCCACCTTCTGGCTTAGAGGATCAACAAGGACTTAATTATTAGTAACTGAAATCGGTATGGAAATTATGTTACTCCATGAGTAGGGTTGCCAAATTTCAGGGCCTGTCCCTGAGCCTCCAATTTTCGTGAGTCACCTCCAAGTGGGAAATGAGTATGTAAATGCTCCAGTTTCAGTTGACTGGGCTCCAGAAAATGGGGACATTATTTATTTATTTACAGTATTTATATTCCGCCCTTCTCACCCCGCAGGGGACTCAGGGCGGATTACAATGTACACATATATGGCAAACATTTAATGCCAAAGACACACAACAGATATAGACAGACAGTCAGAGGCTATTTAACTTTCCTGGCCACCAGGGGAGCTGTCGCTTTCATCAGGCCCGTAGCCAGGATTTCGTTTCGGGGGGGGGGCTAAAAAATTTTCGGGGGGGTTTCGGGGGGGGCTGAGTTTCGGGGGGGGCTGAGTCTGAGTGAAAGAGGGTCTAGCCTAGCAAACCTTTTGTATTATTACCCCAATACCCCCATGCATATGGGATATATTGATTATGGTGATCAGATCATGATATGAATAAACATAACAGTTTAAATAATGCACCAGTAAGGCCTTTTCGCGAACCACCATGAGAATTTCGGGGGGGGGGGGCTGAAGCCGCCCCACCCCCCCCCCCCCCCCCCGGCTACATGCCTGGCTTTCATGGTCCATCTGCGACACTGATGGAGTACTTCCGCATTCCCCGTATGCTTTGCTGGAGTCTTTTTTATGGCCTCGTAAATTAGTTAAATTAGCCTCCCCACACATTGTTGGGACCTAATTTTCCTACTTGACAGATGCAACTGTCTTTCAGGTTGCAAAGGTCAACAACAAACTACACAATTGGTCAGAAGCTCACTCCGACCCAGGCTGGCTTCGAACTCATGACCTTTTGGTCAGAAGTGATCTTAATGCAGCTGACACTCAGCCAGCTGTGCCACAGTCCCGGAAAGGCCCTATGCAAATCTCCAGCTCATCTAGGAGAGGAGCAGCTTGCAAGTGGGAATGTTCAAAATATATTCCTGCCCATATGGGATGCCGGAGCAACTTTGAATAAAACAGCATCCTTGAAAGGCTCAGTAGCTGTGGTTTGAAGGCCATGACACCAGAGTGCTATGCAAAAGGATTTGCCAGATGGACCATGTTACAGTGATACTGATATTGTTTCCTTTTGTCTTACCTGTAGCTGTATAACCTTTTCCCGGGGCTCATGAAACATCTCCCAGGGCCGCACCAGAAGGCCTTGTCCTGCATGGAAATGGGGATTTTATATGCCAAAGAGGAGATCGATAAACACAAAGAGAATCAGAACCTGCACGAGCCCCAGGATTTCATTGATTTCTATCTACTTCAAATGGAGAAAGTAAGTAACTAGAGCCATCCCAAAACATCATCCATCCTTACTAGGAGTCCAGATAATGCCACACCATGGCTAGAGCCAACATTTTGAATATCTCCATTGTAGCTTGTCCCAGTAGCTGATGCAAAAGAAATAGTTTCCTTCCATGCTATTCTTAATACGCATTGATTTTAAACCTTTTCACCTGGGAATTAACTAAACTATTACATGCAGATTATGAATAATAGAATCATATAATAATCAAGTTGGAAGAGACCACATGGGCCATCCAACCCAGCCCCTTACCATGCAGGAAAAGTACAATTAAAGCACCCCCGACAGATGGCTTTCCTGTCTCTGTTTCAAAGCCTACAAAGAAGGAGCTTCCATCACACTCTGAGGCAGAGAATTCCAATGTTGAATAGCTCTTACATTCCATCTAGTCTCCAGGTGTGATACTTGGGTTGTTTCGCGAACACCATAACTTTGGTTTTTTGAAAATTAAGATGAAGCTCTTCTGCATTACAATATTTTGTTAGGGCTCTCAAGGCTCTTTTCAAGCCTACTTGAGTTCTGGATAGTATCACTGTGTTGTCTGCATAGAGCAGAGTAGATAGGTGTCTTCCTACCAGTTTTGGAGGGTGGTAGTCCAAGTTGTAAAGGTTCTCCACCATGGAGTTAATATAAAAGTTGAATAGTAGTGGAGCCAAAGTGCATCCCTGCTTGACGCCTTTCTCTGTTTCAACGGCCCTAGTGAGATGGCCTTGAGGACTACATCTTATTTTCAATATGGTCTCTTCATGTAGGATGCAAATTAATTGCAAAAGTCGTCTATCTATTGAAGTGGACCTAAGTTTTTCCCATAATTTGATACAGGAGATAGAGTCAAAAGCTGCTCTGCAGTTTATGAAGTCAACTCTAGGCTTCTCTCAAGGACAACTGCTAAGTATGGGATGGGACCAAGCTAAGGATCTTATCAGACAACAGATCCTGGATATAGAGCAACAATCAGACTTAGCTTGCTCTCCAGCATTCAACATTAACGAAGATAACAGATATCTCATTGCTCCCATGCCTTACTTAGCAAACCTGGAGGTGCCTAAACACTGAAGAGCTTTCACTTTGGCAAGATGCCCTTCCATCGGCAGTACTGGAGGGGAGGTACTGGAAGGCCCCTGTCCAGGAGAGACTATGCCCGTGTGAGTCTGGCTACATTGAARCAACTGAACATGTGCTCCTCCAATGTGCATTCTATAGAGACATTAGAGCTAATCTCATCGCTCCATGGCTTTTAAAACATCCAAGGCACACTGAAAGATATTACATCTTCCTGCTGCTCTTGGACTCCTGCTCTGCAATAATCCAWAGTGTTGCCAAGTTCTGTGCAGCAGCTATTAACATTAGATGGTTGATGACTGACTCCGCTAGGCAACTTCCTGCCAGAAATACAGCTAGAGTGATTTGTAATAACTGAAATGCTGTAAATGCTCCCCTCTCATCCCCCTTTAGAGTCTCCCAGTGGTTTGATATTTCCTATTAGCCGCCCCCCTATTTTAGACTCATWCATGCACTTTAAACTGTAAGTTTAGTCTGTTTTTTAATCTGTCTCTTTTATAACATGTTTTTAATCTGCTTTTTTATCTGACCTACTTGGGAACTTTGATTCCTTTCCTTGGGCACCTGTGCCCCATTCTRTAGTGTGCTGGACAAAGATTGATTGATTTATTGAGCTCTTACAGTCAGGAAGTTCTTCAAAATGTTCAGGTGGAATCTCCTCTCCTGCAATTTGAACCCATTGCTCCAAGTCCTAGGGCTCTTCCACACAGATGAATAAAATCCCACATTTTCTGCTTTGAACTGAATATATGGCAGTGTGGACTCAGGTAACCCAGATCAAAGCAGATATTGTGGGATTTTCTGTCCTGGTGTTATGGATTATATAGCTGTGTGAAAGGGCCCCTAGTTTCCAGGGCAGCGGAAAACAAGCCTGCTCTTTCTAAAGAAGTGATTTGAGTCTTGTGGTCTAAACATTATAATCCTCTATTCCTGAGTGATTTTTTTAAAAGCCAGGAATTTTGAAAAATAACAGTTTTGGCTCTTCAGCACTGTCTTCCATTTAATTAATAACTTCCTGAATAATTTAATGGATAATATAATTCTGGGATTAAGCTAACCTTGAAACTTCAGCCAATTAAGTTTAAAGCTGCTTTGAGTCTCCTTGTGGAGAGAAAAGCTGGGTGTAAATAAACATAATAATAAACATAATAATTAAACATAATAATAATAATAATAATAATAATAATAATAATAATAATAATCACATCAAGCTACTCTGGGACTTATGAATTCAGACAGACAGAGTTTTGGAGCATAATAGATTAACAGATTTTAAATGTGTATTGTGCTATTGTTAATGTTTATGTTACTCTGTGTATGAGATTTATTTTAATTGCTTTGTATTGTTGTTGTTATTGCTTGTATTGTTGTATTGTGGGCTTGGCCTCATGTAAGCCGCACCAAGTCCCTTGGGGAGATGGTAGCGGGGTATAAATAAAGTTTTATTGTTAATATTCCTGACCTCACGATTGTGTTAAAAAACAAAGTATGGATCGTCGATGTCACAATCCCAAGTGGCAGCAGGATTGCAGAGAAACAACAGGAAAAGGTGACACAATATGAGGATTTAAAGATCGAACTGCAAAAACTCTGGCACAAGCCAGTAAAGGTGGTCCCAGTGGTGATCGGCACACTGGGTGCAGTGCCTAAAGACCTTGGCCTGCACTTAAACACAATCAGCGCTGACAAGATTACCATCTGCCAGCTGCAAAAGGCCACCTTACTGGGATCTACACGCATTATTCGCCGATACATCACACAGTGCTAGACACTTGGGAAGTGTCTGGCATGTGATCCAATACAACAGCCAGCAGAGTGTCTGCTGTGGACTCATCTTATTGTGTTTCTAATAATAATAATAATAATAATAATAATAATAATAATAATAATAATAATAGAACAAAGTCACTCCATTGATTAGGAAAAAAACCCAACTGGGAAGGTAATGACACTCCATGCAGTCATGTTGGCCACATGACCTTGGAGGTGTCTACGGGCAACGCCGGTTCTTCGGCTTCAAAATGGAGATAAGCACCACTCTCCAGAGTCGGACTTGTTTAGACTTAATACAAGGGGAAACCTATACTTTTTCTGTGTAGTTTTAGGAGGGAACCGAGAGATGCTTGTCAACTCTCTACTGATGCCCATGCTATGTAACCCACTCTTCCCAAGTTGAGTAAACTGTGATGTATAACTTAAATGTGGATTGGTTTTTAACCGCATTTCATCTTATTATGTTACCAAAACCAGAGCAAGGATGATCCCAACTCTACCTTTAGTGAAGAGAACCTCACTCAAATTCTTGTTGACCTCTTTGTTGCGGGTACAGAGACCACTTCCAGTACTTTGCAATGGGCACTGCTTCTCATGGTGGCTTACCCAGATGTCCAAGGTAAGAGAGACCTACCTGGTAGAAGAATTACTTCCTCTGGAATTCCTTCTCTTGTTTCGCAGTGCCATAGAGCCAAGGCAAGCCTTATGCCTCAGTATGAAGGCCTTTCCTTCTATTTTTTTGGGGTGAAATGGTGGGCAGGGGGGTGAGGCTGGTGCTGTGGGGATACCTTCTGGGATCAAGGATGGCAATCCCAGGAGCCCCCAAAACTCCAAACTTCATCACATTCATTTAGTCCAATTCCTTTTTTGATTTGGCCAATACAATCTATGGTATTTCCATTAAAAAAATAACTGGGAACAGCAGTGCATCCCTGCTAGGTTTTTTTGTTGTTGTCTACTACAAGATGTCAAAACTATTGCATGGCATTGTAGTAAGAAGAGTAGAAGATCTATTTAAATCTGGCTTCTGATAAAAACAGAAATTCCAGATCATGATCAGCTCTTCTTTTAGTATATGAGACTGGAATTGCTTCATTCGGGGTTTCCTTTTGGCACATTGCAACAAACATCTTCTATGATGGCACCCTCCTCCTGTATAGTTTCACTTGTTTTCAGGTTGCTCTAGAGCAGTAATTCCCAACTTGTAGGCCGTGAACCACCAGTGGTCCACAAAAACAAAAATATGATCCACGCCCTCACCATTACTACACCGTTGCCTCGAAATAATGTGGCAACAAGAGCGACTGGTCTCTCGAAACCCTCTTATAGTGCAGAGGCAACGGGAATGTTGTGAGGGGAGAGGCTGACTACTCACAAAAGATTCATACTACCACATCAGCTCTAAATTATCAAATTTGTTCCCTGCATTTTTCTCGGAGCTGTCGTGCAGTGAAGATCATGTCCACTGTTCCTCTGGAGGGGTGGAAGCCATTCTGGGATTCTGGGAGGATGTCTTCTGAGAGGGGTAGAAGGCGGTTTGCAAGGATTCTTGCGAGGATTTTCCCAGCGGAGGTTAGGAGGGAGATACCTCGATAGTTTCCGCAGTCTGTTCTTTCCCCTTTTTTGAAGAGGGTGATGATGGTGGCATCCTTGAAATCTGCTGGGATTTTCTCGGTCACCCACACTTTTTCTATGAGCTGGTGGAGTTGTTGTGTCAGCTCAGGTCCTCCCTCTTTAAAGATTTCAGCAGGGATCCCATCAGGTCTGCTGGCTTTGTTATTTTTTGTTGGTTGATGGCATTGCTGACTTCTTCCAAACGTGGACAGTCTATAGACATCACATGCAACTCCTCGAATGATATCAGCGCTGCCTCCGAAAAATCCTGCAAATCTCTTGGGAAGACAAGTGGACAAATGTCAGTGTGCTGGAAGAAGCAAAGACCACCAGCATTGAAGCAATGGTCCTCCACCATCAACTCCGCTGGACTGGCCACGTTGTCCGGATGCCCGACCACCGTCTCCCAAAGCAGTTGCTCTATTCCGAACTCAAGAATGGAAAACGGAATGTTGGAGGACAGGAAAAGAGATTTAAAGATGGGCTCAAAGCCAACCTTAAAAACTCTGGCATAGACACTGAGAACTGGGAAGCCCTGGCCCTTGAGCACTCCAGTTGGAGGTCAGCTGTGACCAGCAGTGCTGCAGAATTTGAAGAGGCACGAATGGAGGGTGAAAGAGAGAAACGTGCCAAGAGGAAGGCGCGTCGAGCCAACCCTGACCGAGACCGCCTTCCACCTGGAAACCGATGCCCTCACTGTGGGAGAAGATGCAGATCAAGAATAGGGCTCCACAGTCACCTACGGACCCACTGCCAGGATACTACACTTGGAGGACCATCATCCTCAGACTACGAGGGATCGCCTAAAGGAAATTATGAAATATGGTTTACTGTGGGTGAGCAGATGGCGACTACTGGATGGCATATGTTCTGTATCAGAAACTAGAGCTGATGTGGTCTATCCAATGCAGTTTTCTGAATTAGCACCCTAAATACAAACCAAACTGATTTGTAACCCTTTTAGTACTAATGTTGGAAAGTGGTCCCTGGTCAAAGTGATCCCTGTTTAAGTGGTCTCTGATCAAGTGGTCGCTGATCAAAAAAAGGTTGGGAACCACCACTCTAAAGTAACTAACTATGGAGAGTCATTTCATGTTGAGTTAATGTCCTCCAGTGATTGGCTCTTAGAGATAAAGGGTTCCTTTAATAAATCTTCCTTTCCCTCCAATTCTCTCAGATAAAGTCTACAAAGAGATGGAAGATGCTTTGGGTCCCTCTCACCCAATCTGTTACGAAGATCGGAAGAAACTGCCATACACCAATGCTGTGCTTCATGAGACCCAGCGGGCCAAATATATCTTACCAGTTGGGATTCCCAGACGATGTTCAAAGGATTTCCAGATGCTTGGCTTTCATATTCCAAAGGTACATTGCAACCCCCATAACCAAAAAAACACAGAACATTCAAAGATGGCACTTGAATTCAGTGATGTATCTATACAAGAAACCTACTGTACATGATCAAATCAGAAGGACTTCCTACCCCTATAATCTCTCCCCAGAAGGCCAGGAATCCCTAACATGGAAAGTGGGAGAGACAGTCTCCTTGTGTAGTTGCCTGGGTGAGACACATAGCAGAGTACAAGGAGCATACAACCCCCTGTTACACCAGCTCCATTTTGCAGCCAATCTGCAACCGAGCACAATTCAAAGTGCTGGCTTTATCTATAAAGCCCTAAACTGTACCGGTCCAGCTTACCTGTCCGAACGTATCTCCACCTATGAACCATCTCAGAGCAGGGGAGACCCTGCTCTCGGTCCCACCTCCTTAGCAAGTGCAAAAAACAGGGCCTTCTCAGTGGTGGCCCCTCATCTGTGGAACTCCCTCCCCAGTGAAATTAGATCAGCCTCTTCTTTCCTGACCTTCAGGAAAAAACTGAAGACATGGCTTTAGGACCAAGCTTTTGACAAGTAATTGGGGCAGTGCAATAAGTGACCATGAATCCTGGGCACCAATTGTATGCACAGATGTTAGCTGAACCGCTAGCTGAATAACAATTGACCTCAGGTTAGCTATTTTTATCAAAAAAAAATTAGTTTGTTTATCTACTGTTTGATTTGTTATTTGTTGGGGTTTTTTGCCTTTTGCCATTGACAGATTGTGATTTTGTCAATTTTATTGTTTCCAAATGCCGGTTGAGATCTTTTGGCATGGTGACATCAATAATCCAAACTTTTTTCTTTTCTACAATTGTGATGTCTGGCATATTGTGTTTATTATTATTATTATTATTATTATTATTATTATTATTATTATTAGTCAATCTTTTTTCTTTCCAGAAAACCCTTGTTGTGACAGATCTGAACTCTGTCCTTCTTGATCCCAAGCATTGGGAGACCCCTGGAGAATTCAACCCAAACCATTTTATGGACAAGGAGGGGAATTTTGTCACTAGAGAAGAATTCTTGCCATATGGAGCAGGTAACCCTGGAATCAATGTATGGGCATGTGATACAATGCTTAGTGTGCTTTGTATTAGCATAGATGAAATGTCGGAGTATTATAGACTAAATTGTATGGAAAGCAGCTTTGATCAGTCTCCCATCAGTTGAACAAATTTCTTTCCTTCAAAATAAAACAATGAAAGAAAAAAATCATGTTCTGTTTTGCACTATAAATAAAAATTTAAGACTGTATGGACTCATAGTCAGTCAGCTCTTAGAATCAAGCCAGACTCCTGAAAGTTTCCAACCCAGGGGATGAAAGATACCTGTGGAACATGTTGTAATTGTAATTATGGATTGTCGAAGGCCTTCATGGCTGGAATCACTAGGTTCTTGTGGGTTTTTTCGGGCTATAGGGCCATGTTCTAGAGGCATTTCTCCTGACGTTTCGCCTGCATCTATGGCAAGCATCCTCAGAGGTAGTGAGGTCTGTTGGAATTAGGACAATGGGTTTATATATCTGTGGAATGGCTGGGGTGGGGCAAAGAACTCTTCTCTGCTGGAGCTAGGTGTGACTGTTTCAACTGACCACCTTCATTAGCATTTGAAGGCCTGGCTGAGCCTGGGAAAATCTTTTGTTGAGAGGTGTTAAGATGTGCCTGGTTGTTTCCTCTCTGCTGTTTTGCTGTTGTAATTTTAGAGTTTTTTAATACTGGTAGCCAGATTTTGTTCATTTTCATGGTCTCTTCCTTTCTGTTGAAATTGTCCACATGCTTGTGAATTTCAATGGCTTCTCTGTGTAGTCTGACATGGTGGTTGTTGGTGTGGTCCAGCATTTCTGTGTTCTCAAATAATATGCTGTGTCCAGGCTGGTTCATCAGGTGTAATTATGGAGTTTGCAGGTTGGGGACTTGCCTTGCTAACTAACATCAAGTTGACTTTGCTTTATGGTAGTCTTACGAAGAAGAGGCCTCCATGTCACCCATACTTCAATAGCCCTGTTCAGATTTTGCAGATATAAGGATGTGGCTTCCCCCTGGAATGAAGTCTTCATCTTTTCCTATTGCTGTCTATTTATCAAGCATTGTCTTTTCTAGTGAATCATGTGTTCTTGTGATACCACCAAAACATGACAGCCTTGCCTGACCGATTCCAATGATCAAAACTAGTAGTCAACGAGAACAGAGACACCGGAGAACTGGTGAGGTGGGCTCTAGCTCACTTGATGCTTTTCTCTTCTTTTCCTTGCAGGAGCTCGAGTGTGTCTTGGGGAGCAGATGGCGAGGATGGAGCTGTTCCTTTTCTTTGCCAACTTGCTGAGGGCCTTCAAATTTCAACTGCCCGAAGGTGTGAAAGAACTGAACAAAGAGCCAGTAGTTGCAATATCAATGCATCCCCATCCTTATAAACTCTGTGCTATTCCCCGCAATAGTTCATGTCAAATTATATAGGACTTGTTGATAGTAGATTATTTATTACTGTACATTTCCCTGTTGTTCCACTTCCTTCAGTCCGACAGTCTGTCATAACTTGCTTGTTTTTAGATTGTCTGTGTCCTTAGCCATTATCTAGTTCATCAGAACTTTAAGCAAATCCATCATGTAAGTAAATTACTTGGCACCTAGGACTGAACTGTTGCACCTCAGCAGGAGTTCACCTTGCTCACAGCACTCATCAGGAAACCAGATGTGGTAATAAACAGTTTATTGATAAAACACATATAAGAAAGGGCCAAAGGCATCTTAAAGCAAATAGTACGATAAAAATCCAGGTGTTAATAAAGAAAGCAAGTCCCATGGGCATAGATAAATCTAGAAAACAAGAGTTAAAACATGAACATTAATCCAGGTAACAAGGAACGAAACAAGAGAATGAATCCATAGGCAAATCCATAAAACAAGAAGCAAAACTTGACCAGGAAACTTGAGCCCTGAGCTAAAGCATGAACCAGGAACAAGACAGGAGTTTTATCACTCCAGTAGCGACATTGCTTGATCTAAAAACCTAACAGCTCTCTCCCTAATTTAAGGGCTGCAAAACATGAACACATTCCTTTGACCTTGAGAAGCCTGCTTCTGCCTCTCTTTCTCATAGGTTTTCTTGCACCTGAATCTCTGCTCCCAGGGCTGTAGCCAGAAAAATTTTTTCAGGGAGGGTTGAAAATTTGGGGGGAGGGTTGAAATTTGGGGGGGGGGGGGGTAGCTCACGCTGAAGCAAAGAGCACAGCAGCGGGCAGAGCAGCCTTCAATAGCCTGCAGCTCCGCCCTGTCAACCACCTCCACCAAGTCTGGCCTCCTTAATGAGAGCATTCAACCCCCCCCCCCCAACTTGGTTGCTTCGCTACATCGGCTATTGTTGCAAGTAATGACAGTGTGAATAAATTCTCAATATTTGCTTGAGATAGTGATTGCAGTTCTGGAGGGACTCTTAATTTTTTGCGTCTCATAGACTTAGCAGGGGAATTTGGTTAACCAGTTAAAATTCATGAGTAAACCAGGTGTTTTTTAAAACCTGAAAAATTTTGGGGGGGGGGGATTGAACCCCTAAACCCCTCCCCTGGCTACAGGCCTGCCTGCCCCCTCAGAAGTAGCCTCGTATTTCTGTCTAAGCCAGCTGCTTCCTCAGCTGAGGTAATGTTATCCTCCCCTCCCTGCCTGTTGGCTTCCAAAACAGTTTCACTCTTACACTGTATCAGCAACAGCATCTTGCTCCAAAACCCCTTCTGTTCTCTCAGCTAGAGACCCCTCTGTCTGGGCACCCACAGAACCATCAGGCTTGGACCCCCAAGCCCCTCATCTTCATCAGTTGGCTGGACCACAACATGAACTTAAATGACTCCCTGCCATAACCATTTTGTCACCTTCATTCACATGTAATGACCTTTGGGGATTTTTTAAAACTGATTGTGGGGCCTTTGGGGCTCCATCTACACTGCCTTATATTGCAATGTGAAACTTCACTGGATTGCATTATATGGCAGTGTAGATGGGCCCCAGATAGCTCAAAATAATTGCATTCCACCATTATCGACAAACCTCATCTATGGCAATTGTACAGCGTGACATGAAGGAAGTACAACAGCCAGCCTGTTCAGTAACTGATTGCACTTGAGGCAGCAAGATGGAGTTCAAGTCTCTGTTGACCCATAAATCCCAGTGGACAAGTTGCTAACCTTTTGCTCTAGATAAAATGGGAAAGAACAATGAGACACTTGGAGCAAAAGTGAGGATATAGAAATGATCTGTAAAAAATTATCATCTCAGAACACAACCTAGTTCAATGAATTAAAGAATTCTGGAATTGACGTGTTTTGTTAATACTTGACAGGCACCCAATGAGATGTGGAATGTAGATCTTTAAAGCAACATGTGTCTTCAGGTATTTTCTCCCCATTTGGCAAAGTTTTGTGCATTTTTCAATTACTTTGCACTGCTGGGGCTGATGTGAAGAATGCATTTGTTAACCAACTGGCACAAAACCAAATTTTCATGCAAAACCCAGGGCATTTTGTACACAAAAGTCTCACATGGCAAAGGATCTTCAGGCAGTTAGCCATGTCAATGATGGGATGTTTTCTGTGCCAAGAAACATGCTGTTGTTAGGAACAAGAATGTTTGCTAATATTCTTTATAAACCTAAACAGGATTAAGGCTCTATACAAAGGTGGTTCATGTACCTGGGAATGGCAATGAAGTTTCTCTGAAATACAATGCTTCTTCACTTAGTAGGGGAAAAGTGTAGCTTGCTTCTTGACCCATTACTGCCACATGAGATTCAGAGTTCCTCTACACTTTGGAATTAATCCAGTCTGACACCACCTCCATTGCTCAGTGTTATGTTATTTCTGCCAAAGAGTACTTGTACCTCACTAGATACTCCGCTTTGGCAGGAAAAACGAAATGCAAAGATACAAAATGGAGGACGTCTGGCTCGAGAGCAGTACGTGTGAAAAAGATCTTGGAGTCCTCGTGGACAACAAGTTAAACATGAGCCAACAATGTGATGTGGTGGCAAAAAAAGCCAATGGGAATTTGGCCTGCATCAATAGGAGCATAGTGTCTAGATCCAGGGAAGTAATGCTACCCCTCTATTCTGCTTTGGTTAGACCACACCTGGAATATTGTGTCCAATTCTGGGCACCACGATTCAAGAGAGATATTGACAAGCTGGAATGTGTCCAGAGGAGGGCGACTAAAATGATCAGAGTCTGGAGAACAAGCCCTATGAGGAGCGGCTTAAGGAGCTGGGCATGTTTAGCCTGAAGAAGAGAAGGCTGAGAGGAGATATGATAGCCATGTATAAATATGTGAGAGGAAGCCACAGGGAGGAGGGAGCAAGCTTGTTTTCTGCTTCCCTGGAGACTAGGACGCAGAACAATGGCTTCAAACTACAAGAGAGGAGATTCCATCTGAACATGAGGAAGAACTTCCTGACTGTGAGAGCCATTCAGCAGTGGAACTCTCTGCCCCAGAGCGTGGTGGAGGCTCCTTCTTTGGAAGCTTTTAAACAGAGGCTGGATGGCCATCTGTCAGGGGTGCTTTGAATGCAACATTCCTGCTTCTTGGCAGGGGGTTGGGCTGGATGGCCCATGAGGTCTCTTCCAACTCTTTGATTCTATGATTCTATGACTAACTACATTTTCCCACCAACTTTAAACCCTTGTGGCAGCTGAACTGCTGACCTTAAGGTCGGCGGTTCGAATCCACAAGATGGGGTAAGCTATCTGTCATCCCCAGCTTCCCTTGTGGAGACATGAGAGAAGCTTCCCAGAGAATGATAACACATCACCTAGGCAACGTCTCTGTAGTTGGCCAATTCTCTCACACCAGAAGCAACTTGCAGTTTCTCAAGTCGCTTCTGACACAATTTAAAAAATCCAATCTACTCCTGCAGAATTCTGGAAAATTTAGTTTAGAGAAGTTGAGGACCTCTCTTAGTTGAGAATTTCAAAGGCTTTTCCCTGAACTACATTTCCCAGAATTCTGGAGGAGGACCTCGGACGATTGGCAGACAATAGTCTCCATTCTATAATGCCGTTGGGGAACGTCCTATACTACAACTTTCATGTTGACATAGCACTGAGCCATGGCAGTTGAAATAGTACCAAATTGCACTAATTCTGTAATGTAGATGCACCCTCAATTGGACTGAAGCAGATAGAATTATCATTTTAACCATCTTAGTTTCAGGATACATGATATTTAGATTTTGAATAATACATTTTGGAAATATCCTTCTAGGATTTAGTTTTCAGGCAGTGTTGCCTTTGCTGTGACTTTGTTTTACCTTCAGTTGATGGTCAAAAGATTAAATTATGTTTAAATCCACTAAATAGCATTTGCATTTTCTTTACACACATAGTTGTCCCATGTCTCTATAGACTGAATCATTTTTGAGGATTTTGCCCCCAGGTGGCAGAGGAATCTTACCACGGATCACCAACTTCCTTCCAGGAGAAGTGCCCTCCCAGCACTGCTGAATTCTATTTTCGGGGAGAAATGCAGGATACAAATTCAATACATAATATTAAGTTGCCATTTCTTCTCTGTCTCATTTGTCTGCCCATTGGGGAATGTGATTTTGGACTCATTAACAATATACAACTTATAGTACCTTGAATCTACATCAGTGCTTCCGAGCCTTTTTTTGACTAAGGACCGCTTTGACCAGAGACCACCCTCCAATTTTAGTACCAAAGGAGTTACAAATCGGTTTTTGGTCAACTTTAGTTTCGGTTTGGTTATTTGGGGTTCTGATTCAGAAAATTGCATTAGATAGACCACATCAGCTATAGTTTCTGATACAGAACATATGACATTCAGGAGTCACTATCTTCTCACCCACAGAAAACCATATTTAACAAGCCTCGGCACTATAAGATGGTTTCACGAGACCAGTTGCTTTTGTTGTAACAGTGTAGTAATAGTGAGGTCACAAACCATATTTTAGTTTTTGTGGACCACTGATGGTCCACGGGCTGGGAACCACTGCTCTGCATTCTATAGGATCCTGAAACCTGCAGTTTGGTGAGGCACTGGAGCTCTTTGGGTACAAAAAGCCCATTCCTGAATGGCGAATCTTGTTGCAATCCAGAGCAGGGAACGAGGCCCTAAGATAACTATCCACCACACTTGGCTGTGAAAAACAATCCTTTTTTATTGAAGAAAAATGGTTACAAAATAAAGGAAAAATGCAAGTCAAAAGCCACAGCAAAATCAGCAAACATGAATTTAAATGGACAAAGCAAAACCAAAAGCCTCACTGTGAAATACTGGAACCTGTTAGCAATCCACTAACCGTACTTGATATCCTAGAAATCTTCCCAAACTATGGCCAGGGAACCGGGAGAACTGCCAAGGTCTTCATCAATTCTGAAACGATGCCTGAACTGAGACAGTCAGCACGGCGTAAGGCAATTAAAACTCAAGAATTGGTTCCGTGAACCGCCCTTCTTTTTTGAAGCCAATGTTTTTAATTCTTGAATTTGGGAGGATCGACGCAAACTGAGTGATTTACTTCTGTCTTCCCAAATTTGGCCCCTTCTGTTGTCATTACAGTTACCAGGTGCAGAAGGGAGGGAAAGTTCAAGGTCTCCCTCTGAAACATTCTCATGAACACTGGTACTTTCATTTTCCAAATCTACAGAAGTTCCTTCCTCACTAATTTCTGGAACATTGGCATTTTCCAAACCTACAGCAGTTTCTTCCTCACTAATTTCAGGAGCATTGGCATCAAAAGGTACATTTCCACTAGCATCAGTAAATATACTTTCATTAGCATCAGGAGGAACAAACAGAGAATCAGGTTCAAGTTCAAACTCAGGCTGAACCCCAACAAATATTAGGATTCCATGGGATGCTACCATGGTAGTTTAAAGTGGAATATGGCCCTATAGTTGTGTAGCATTAACGATCCTCAGATGAATATATGTATGAGAGATTTCTTCTGCCATCTTCCATCTCTAAATGCTTGACCATGGAAACAAATAAGGAGGAAGGTGTTGAGATAATGAGGAAGATAAGATGATCTCCTGGACCTTCCATAATATTCATAATGCATGGTCCACAAAAGTACAGTCATCAAACATAGAAACCAAAGACACTGAGAATAAAACATAACATATAAGATAAAATATTGTC